CCCCCCCCCCCCTATGTTTCTGCGTCGACACGTCCATTAGATATGCATGATGTCACACCCACAACAAGGGTGTGCTTGTACACTAGACTACAGTACATGAAATAGGGGAGAAACGTGTGCGCTTTTCGTACAATAGTACAGCGACCCAGCCCCTTGTCTGGTCAGTTTTCGGAAGGTATCTTACGGGGTGAGTTTCACGAACACTCCGGTCGCATTGCAGTGTCCTTGGTGATGTGTGTGGCCCATGCAAGCACACGCCCATGCACAAAATGTACACGCTCTCTTCCTTCTGCTGCTGGACTTTTCAAAGCATCATGATTTTTCCTCTGTGATACTTTGATTCCAGTCTTTGGGCCTCCCGCCGCCATCCAAGGCAGCACGGTAGGACGTCCCTCCCGCCTGATCGATCGTGCAGAGGAACAGGAGCTATTGCTGTTGACCAGAAAGTGAGAGCGAGTTCGTTCGCATCAAGCACGGCGTAAATTTGTGAAGCGTTACCTACGCCTCCCGAACCAAAGTCGAAACCTTACCATCCAATAACGCGGGGTCTGCCGCGGAAGCAGGGCACCGAGCAGCAGCGGGAGAGCGAGGGCGTCTGAGGGAGGGAGGAGGATAGACCGCAGGGGTGGAAAGCTCTGCACGAGAGGAAACTGCCGGCTGCTCTTGGGTAGGGAGGATACCTAACGACCACTGCCGGTGAGCTGTAGCCGGACTATAGGACGAGAACCTCAATCGTGAATGACGTTCGCTGGCGCGTGTCTCTGTCAACCCGCTCTCTGTCGCCTTCTCCGCTTTCTGCCCGCTCGCTCAGCAAACAGCAGGAAGTAAAGGGATAGCATTAGGCACCAGCATGGGATGGGGTGTGACGTATGACAATGGTTCTGGGTTGCTGTATAGCTTTTCCAAACGCGTTGCATTGACCGGCTCTTTCCGCATCGCTGAGAGCGGGGCGACATCGCCGCTTGTGTACTTGCTCCCTGTTGGAGCAACAAGGTAAAATCAAATCATGTTGATGTCAGGCGCCCCGGCGGCAAGTGGCGTCTGCTTATGTCTGGGCCGACGTATTTTCATCAGCTCCGCTGTTAAGCGCGATCTTCGCGATTGCAAGAGCACGAGGTGATTGTGTTGACGCCGTTGTCCCTCCAATAAGGCGTGTTCTTATCGGCCCACCGTTGTACACCGACCGTCCCCAGGCGAAATTAAAGAGGACTGGTATTGTACGCGAAAGACATTGGCGTTCTCAAAACGACGTTCGTGGACTGCTGTACGTGCTCTGTAGATCCATCACGCACGGCTGCTCTCAAAAACCGACATTTCCTTCCCATAGAGCACCAGCCCCACGTGCAACCCTATCCACACGTCTCCGTATTCATTCACACAGCCGTCGTTTTCCGTTTTGTTTGTTGTAGTGCACGCACATTCAATCGACTGCGGCACCTCCTGACCAACTCCGATCCTCTCTTCCATTGGGTTTAGGGTACACTGCTTTGTAGTGCTGGTGCCGGTGTTGGTGCTGGCGGCAGGTCAACGCGCCCGGATATACCCACTGGGTAAACGGGTAACCCGCCCGAAGGTTGCTGCTGCGTTCCACGAACCGCTACCGGAAACATGGGTGTTACAGCACGGTCCTACGGACCTCCTTTGCTCGCCCGTGCTATCTGTACGGATGTGTGCATGAATACGCAACGTGTGGGTGGTTTGCGCGTGGGTTCTCTCTCCCTCTCCCTCTCCCTCTCTCCCTCTCTCTCTCCCTCACTCTCTCTCTCTCTCTCTCTCTCTCTTCTCTCTCTCTCTCATACCCACACCTAACCCTCCAACACTCTTCCCTCGCGCCACTCCCGTCACGCGCGGCAGAGCTTGGCCCCGCGTGGTCGCGTCCGTTCTTTAGCGATCGGGGGCTCCCCGGGAGGACACGAAAGAGCCTTTCCATTGGTCAAACATTTCCCAAGGCTGACCGACCGGACAGTACGAAGCTAATCCCCTTCTCAGACCTGCCATGGCGCTTGCCAAGGGGCAGTCACTCGCATCGCTGCAGAAAGAGAAGGCGGCGGCGCCAGGCAGCACAACGGCGCCCGCAACAAGCGCAGCAGCTGACGCACCCGGTTCGGTGAGTCGAGTAGGAGAGCGTGCATGCTTTGCTTACTATGAGAGCACTTGTGGTAGAACGAAGGGAGAGGGAGAGTGAGCCGGCGGGCATTTCTTGGCGCCGTGGACAAGATGCACCCGGAGTTTTTTTATCGAAGCTGCATGGAGCAGTGCGTGGCTCACCCCTGCCGGTACAATAGGATCTTCTGTGTTTGACCATGGGGGGTGGGATTCTGCGCCGGGCGGCTCCTCACCCGACGTTTCCGCACTGCCGTGCTCCAACAGGCTAGGAACATTTGTTCGGTTATTTCCGAAGCCTGCTCGTGTTCCCTTTCTGTGGTCATTCGATTTCGAAAGAGAAGCAAACAAGGAATTTGCGAGGGAAACGCCACCTGAGCATGCATTCGCCTCAACAATACCAGCGGTGCTCATTTTGATTTATCCTTTCGTGCCTGTCGATGGCTGCGGAACAGGGCAGC